TTTCTTCCAATTACATTTTCTCAACAATTTCCAAAGGAGTGGTTCACTCAACCAACAAATTCCTTTTCAGTGACTATGCTAGTGTTAACTTGTATAATGTGTATAGTTTATAGCAGTTCTTTAAAGAGACAAGTTTTGGGTAGTTGGTTTAGATAAAAAATATATTTTCTAATGATATTATAGAATCTGTTGACAAATCACTCCTTGGTTAGTGATACATAACTTCTCTATCAAAATTATGGGGCACAGCTCTAGCCTTCCATGCACTAAGTTACATGGACTAACTCTTTTTATTGACATATAATTGAGGTATAACATTCTATTAGTTTCATATGTGCAACATAATGATTTGGTATTTGTATCAATTGTGAAATGATCACCATAAAATGTCCAGTTAACATTCATGCATGGACTCATTCTGATAAACAGTTACACTGAAAATTTTTAAAAATCTGCAGTAAAGTTATGCTACCCTAGTATCTGTTTGTATTTAAGGTATTTGGAAACTCTAGTTTTTTCTATGACTAGAACATGGAGAAATGTTGAATAAGGGTCTAGGATTATTGTAGCATATGTAATGAGGTTATTATATACACTAATACATGTCAGTTGATTCCGTTAGTTATGGAGACTATAGAGATAGGACAATATCCTGTAAACTCTTCTGATCTATATTTGTTTGGGATTGGCTACCTGTCATTTGTTTTTTAAAATTGAATGATTATGAATTTGGCTAATAGTTTAGTCATTTTCTCTCCTTTCATGCAAACTCTTTTTTTAAAAAAGATTTTATTTATTTATTTATGAGAGACACACAGAGAGAGAGAGAGAGAGAGAGAGAGAGAGAAAGAGAGAGAGGTGAGACACAGGCAGAGGGAGAAGCAGGCTCCATGTGGGGAGCCCAATGCGGGACTTGATCCCAGGACCCCAGGATCACGACCTGAGCCGAAGGCAGATGCTCGACCACTGAGCCACCCAGGTGTCCTCATGCAAGCTCTTTGGACACAAATTTAACTATGCTTTCTTATGCTAATTAAAAAATTTCCTTTCTAGGTTTCCTATAAACCTTTCTGGTCTCAGTAGTGTTGTGTTGATGTCTTAGAGCCCATACTTTTGCCGAACTGACATTTAGTTTTTTCAAAACGAGCTACACTGATATACTTTTCTCAACTGTTATTTTAAATGCATCTGAAATAGTATTTATAAGACCTCACATACTGCAGTCAATTAAGCCGACTGTGCTCTTTCTCCATGGGGGTTAGGCAAGTATTGATTCTCTCGATGAAGTTCTCTTTCATCCAGTTGCAAGATTTGGACCAACTATTTTTGTATTAGACAGTTTCAGGTTAGAAGGAATTAGCATCTAATCAAACTCTTATTTATAAAATCATGGGCAGACTTCTCTGAATTCTTCCCATAGCTACTACTTTCACTGGTCCTAGACTTGGTTATTTCTAGAATTTCCTTTTGTAGCTCCAGTCTAAAACACAAATGAACAAAGAAGCGCATGTGCACACACACCAATCATGAGATTTCTTCTGTATATTACCACATCACCCATTTTTGAGTTGAAATCTGCCTCTGTCTCTCTGCCAATCAGCCTTTAGCCCTTTAAAGCAAGCCATTTCCAGCATTTCCCTGCTGCCATGCAGAGCAGAGATCTTTGAAGTAATCTCTCTTTGGAACTGGATTTTGAATGTTTTCAACAAAAGCCTGGACAGTTGCAATATCTTTTCCAAGTTATGCTGGGTTTTTTTTTCCTTCACAATAATAGAGTGGTTTTAAGTACAGACTCCAGAGTCTGAATATTTGGGTTCGGGTCTCAGCTCTTCCAAGTACCATGATTATTACCTTCCATGCTTCAGTTTCCTAATCTGTGAAATGAGGGTAACAATAGCTTGTACCTTATAGGATTGTTGGGAGGACCGAGTGCGGTTCATATAATTGAAGCCTTCAGATTAGTGCCTGCTACATAATGCTAGCCTGATACCTGTTGACTGTTCCTATTTTCCACCAACAATCTTCTGAGTATTTTTTCTCATCACTAGAAAGGGAATTGGGATAAAGAAGAGAGCTCCTGGACTGCCTGATTTTTTTTTTTATAAATTAATTTTTATTTGTGTTCAATTTACCAACATACAGAATAACACCCAGTGCTCATCCCGTCAAGTGTACCCCTCAGTGCCCGTCACCCATTCACCCCCACCCCCCACCCTCCTCCCCCTCCACCACCCCTAGTTCATTTCCCAGAGTTAGAAGTCTTTATGTTCTGTCTCCCTTTCTGATATTTCTCACACATTTCTTCTCCCTTCCCTTATATTCCCTTTCACTATTATTCATATTCCCCAAATGAATGAGAACATACACTGTTTGTCCTTCTCCGGTTACTGTGGCCAAGTTCAAAAAGGGTGTTGCCTGAGTTCTTCTCTGGGATTTTGATGGAATCTTGTCTCACATTTAGATCTTTCATCTATTTTGAGTTTATCTTTGTGTATGGTGCAAGAGAGTGGTCCAGTTTCATTCTTCTGCATGTGGATGTCCAATTTTCCCAGCACCATTTATTGAAGAGACTGTCTTTCTTCTAGTGGATCGTCTTTCCTCCTTTATCGTATATTAGTTGAGCATAAAGTTCAGGGTCCACTTCTGGGTTCTCTGTTCTGTTCCATTGATCTATATGTCTGTTTTTGTGCCAGTACCACACTGTCTTGATGAACACAGCTTTGTAGTACAACCTGAAATCTGGCATTGTGATGCCCCCAGATATGGTTTTCTTTTTTTAAAATTCCCCTGGCTGTTTGGGGTCTTTTCTGATTCCACACAAATCTTAAAATAATTTGTTCTAAGTCTCTGAAGAAAGTCCATGGTATTTTGATAGGGATTGCATTAAACGTGTAAATTGCCCTGGGTAACATTGACATTTTCACAATATTAATTCTGCCAATCCATGAGCATGGAATATTTTTCCATCTCTTTGTGTCTTCCTCAATTTCTTTCAGAAGTGTTCTGTAGTTTTTAGGGTATATTTTGAGAACCATTTGAATGGTAAATGGTTCTCCAACCTTTTATTTTCAGGTTGTAGGTGTCCTTCTGTCTAAAATGAGTCTCTTGTAGACAGCAAATAGATGGGTCCTGTTTTTTTATCCAGTCTGAAACTCTGCGCCTTTTGATGGGGTCATTAAGCCCATTCATGTTCAGAGTTACTTGAACTTCTTCTTAAAGGGGAGTTTTAAGAGTCCCCCTTAAAATTTCTTGCAGAGCTGGTTTGGAGGTCACATAGCCTGATTTTTACCTTCTAATATCGATCTCATATTTCGTTGGGAATTCTCTCCACAACTCTTATTTACTAATTCCTTTTGTTCAACATCATGTCCTCAATGTCTAGCACTAAAGCCTGACACACAGTAGGCACTTCATCAACGTTTGCTTAATAAATGAATGGAATTTTTTCTGACTGTACTCTCTGACATTGGCCACCTCTGTCCTGGACCTGTCACTCATTGTTTTGGCCTCATTGGATCTGGTCTGGGTGGCAATGTCCTCTTCTGATCACAGGAAAGTCTAATGCCATGCTTGCGAATCCTGCAAACTATACTTTACCAGATTGTTCTGTGTCTGCAGGTCTTCTGTGCTTAATCAGCGAAGCCCCCTTTCAAAAGAAGGATCTCTTGCTTCCTACGCAGGGTCTGACCTGAAAGCAGAGTCCCCAGTTCGGCAGTCATGACACCATCACCACCTTTACGCCCTGGAACAGCTTTCAGAATATAACTGTCAAGTCATTTCAGTTATCTTCTCTTAATAAGGAAAGGAGCCTGCATGCTCCCCATGCTCCCCATGCTCCTCCTCTTTGGGTTCTGGCCTCAAGGGACCTGTTGGTTGACATTGGCCATATTTTGATAAATCTTGTCATTTAGCTGCTTCCATTTCCTGAGTTTTAATTGTTATTTTTGTTGATGTGCCCAGCACTCTTTTATCACTAGGGTAGGACCTCTTGTGACACCTTCAGCAAGTGACTTAACCACTTGGGCTTTGGCTTGCTTTTCTGCAAATCGAGAATTGGCCTATACGATCTCCTTGGTCTGTTCCAACACTAAAGTTCTATGAGTAAAAACTAAAGAGATAAATTAGGTATTTTCACCTTTTTTTTTTTTTACATTTTTTTTTCTATTGAAGCCTTTGGAAATGTGTGGGTGAATAGAGGACAAAGTTAATGTCCTCCCACTTGGTTTTCAAGCGATTTCTGTGGTCAGATAAGGACTGGAAATTCACCTCCACAAAGGAGACTGGCGGTTTCTCCTGGCCTGGATACTAGACATCTTCTTAAAACGTCAACCTGCAATTTCTCCTTTTGGAGAAACTAGTATTTCCTGGCCCTTTCTCCTGGCAGTCAACACCTGGATATTGTACTATGCAATGCACATAGCAGACAGGGTGATTTTTCAAAAAGGGAATTCTTTTCTTGTCAGTTCCTACATCTTCCATGCTTCCTACATCTCCCAGCTTGGATTGCTCTAGCTATGTTGCCTTCGTTTTGGTTTCTGGGAAACACTAAGTCTTTCTGCCCCAGGGCCTTTGCACGCCTTCCTCTCTGCCTGAGTTATTCTCGCCTGGGCATGCTCCCAGCATTCTCTTTCCTATCTTCACTAGCTCCTTCTCATTTTTCAGATCTCAGTTTAAATGTCATTCTTCAAAAGAGAGCCTTCTGTGACCACCCAGTTGAAAATAGGTCATTCCTGTAAATTCCTATCATAGACCCTAGGTGTTTCCAAAACACAGATTTAATTGTAGTTTGTAATTTGTAACTCTTTGTTTTTAAATCGATTGCTTGCTTCTGTCATGAGACTATAAGCTCTGTGATGACAGAAACCAACTATTATTTACCTGCCATTGCACACTTATGCCCAGGACATTATAGCTGCTCAGTATATGCTTATCGAATGGATAGAAAAAAACTATCAAAGCCTCTCCAATAATGTAACCTGTGTTTTCTGTTGATTTATTAGATTTCCTGTGCTTCCTCAGCTAGAGAGATGAAAACGATTACCAGGATGAAAAGCACGTTTTATGGGGTAAGGATTTCAAGTCATTGTCTTTGAGTACTCTGTTTCTTAAAATGTGAAAAATTTCTGCTTTTATCTCTCTGCTTTATCTGCAGCTTGGAAACAAAGGAATCTACAAAGCCATCAGTGAACTGAATATTCTTCTTTCCTGGATTAAACAATTCCTGGAAAGCATTAAGTAATGCAAGGAGCCAAATGCATGGATCTGATTGCTCTTTTGGAATATAAATGCGAACCACTGGAAATGCATTTGTAAGAGTGTATTTCTTTAAAAAAGTTTTTGTACAATTTAGATGATGCAGAACAGACTATGGGAATTTAACATAATAAAATTTTGGAGATATGTCAGTTGTCATGAGTATGTACATTTTCTTTATTTTCAAGGAATTCTTTCATCCTGAGCGTGTTTTATTATTCCCAAGTACATTGTATAAAGTTAATTTAAAGCTGTATAATCAGAATTAACTCATATAATATTTGTGGAGGAAAAGTGACAGCTTTTAGGGATACAGTATAGTGTTATTGAGAGTTACATAGATGCTGTGTATATGATTATTATCTACTTAAGGCTTGATGATTATTAATTATGCCTGGTATGAACTTAGCTCCTAACAGATTTTCAGTGTTTTTTTTTTTTAAAGATTTTCTTTATTTATTCATGAGAGACACACACAGAGAGGCAGAGACACAGGCAGAGGGAGAAGCAGACTCCCTGTGGGGAGCCCGATGTGGGACTCGATCCCGGGACCCAAACCAAAGGCAGACACTCAACTGCTGAGCCACCCAGGTGCCCACAAATTCTTAGTTTAATTAAATAAACTGTTTCTTTCCCCTAGATGTCCTTTCTACAACAGCCTGCTAGAATTTCATCGAGTACAATGGGTGACAACCAGACTCGATCACACAGGACAGACATGTAAGCTAACTGGAGTGGTTTACCAGGAATGCCCTTGACAGATAACCCAAGCCACAAGTTCCCAAGCTGAGATGGTGCTGGAGCTTGATATAATGCTCCTTCTGGGTGCTGCACAGTTAGGAAAAGTCCATAGAGGCCAAATTAAAGCCTCGATGCAGCTCAGACTACCCCCCCCCCCCAGGAAACAATCAGTGTTCAGAAGGCTTCCTTGCCCAGCTAGCCCTTCTGTTAAATGAGTAACAAGGCCTGACCTTTGTTTTTGCGTTACCTGGACCTGGCTTCTCAGGTGCAGGGTGCAAAGCATGGGTGGTTGCAGAGAGCAGGTTATGTGACAGCCAGTTGGCTTCCGCAAAGAATTCCTCGGGTCCCTGTGGCACTCGGGGAGCACCATGATTTGGTGTTCTGTGATCTGAATAGGCAGGGCTTCCTCCAAGCCTGTGTGGATTTTGTGCCTCTTCCCTACTGCTTTCCCACCACCCCGTTCCTCTTTTCAATCATATGGTGACTATTCTTTTCACTAGAGACTACCCTGTCTTGGATTATCTCATATTCCAAAATTACTTCTTTGTTTCCTGCACCTTTTCCTCTCTGCCTTCCCCACCAACACCCTGTGGTCCCACCTTTTATCTGTCTTGGTGACCCTAATCTGTTATTAGACAGATCCACAGGGAGGGAAAGGTGTGGAGAGCAGAGGGGAATGGCGAGGGGGAGACTGGAAGACTCTGGCGCTGTTGACCTGGGCTTCCCAGGGCAGCTCCCAGGCCAGCAGTGATGGGAAGCCTACTTTGTTTGTTTGTTTATTTATTTATATTGAAGTAGAGTTGACACCCAATGTTACACTCGTTTCAGGTGATTGGACAAGCCTGCATGCTACGCTGTGCTCATCAGAGTGTAGCCACCATCCTTGTCACCACACAGTGCTATTAGAACACCGTTGACTCTACTCTCCATGCTGTGCCTTTCATTCTTGTGACTTCCTCATTCCATAACTGGAAGCCCATATCTCCATCTCCCCTTCACCCATTTTGCCCAGCCCCCCAACCCTTCCCCTCTGGCAACCATCAGGTTGTTCTCTGTATTTACTTATAGTTCTGTTTTGGGCACCCTACTTTCTTTCTTTCTTTCAAGATTAATTTGTTTATTTCACACTCAGAGCAAGAGCGAGAGGGTGTGAATACACATGAGAATGCAGGGACGGGCAGAGGGGGAGAGAGAGTCTCAAGGACATTTCCCACTGAGCATGGAGCCCGACGCAGGGCTTGATCTCACAACCCTGAGATCATGATCTGAGTCAAAATCAAGAGTTAGATGCTTAGCTGACTGAGCCACCTGGGTGCTCCTGTGGATCCTACTTTCTTGAGGAACATTTGAAAGAACCAAGATCCTGGGGATCAAGAATATACACCCTGGCTTTGCCATGGACTTGAGAGGAGGTGATATACCCATGGATTCTCATTGTCCCACTTTTAGGGCGCCATGTCTTCTAGAAAAGCCTTCACGGCTCAGTTTGACTGTGCTGCACTTCCACAGAGCCCTGGTATCAGTCATGGTTGCAAACCATTCCTAAGCCGTTGCATTACTTTGGGACCTCAGACATCGGAGGGGCTGTGAAATAGTCACTTGCTGGTCAGCAAACTCTAGGTCCTTAGGGTTAAATTTCACTTGTGCCCCTCAATATTTTTTGGTGAATGAATTCAATGTTTTTGTTTATTTCCCCAAATCTTTGGTTTGCCCAGAACAGTCAAAAGGCTGCTAAACTCGGTCAGAAGCACTCTGGAGATGAGAAGGTCATCACCTAGTAAGAAACCAATATCCATATGTTAGTGCCTGTTCCCAAACAAACTTTGTTCAAATGCCAAGGAAAAAGCATGATTTTAGTGTGTTTGAGTAAAGACTGGTATATTGAAAAGGCAGCTAAGAAGAGAGAAGCTGGTGTCCTTATGCATAACGAGAAAAAGTATGTGGTGGGGTCACTGGGCTCCGTATGAAGACTTCTCTTCAGTTTACACAGGTCTTACTCTGGATTTTATCAGAATTAGAGATGGTTACATTTTGGGAAATGGACATATAGCCCCAAACACCCACAAGATGCTCTGTGAACCCTAAAACCATTGAGCATTTATAAGTGAAACTTCTTCTGCTAGATTTTTCCTGGATCATACCTCGGAGACTAAATTTCCTATGAAAATGTGAACGTTGGCTTATGATTAGAGCTAAAGGAGTTGCATCTGCCTTTAGCACAGAGTAGGAGAGAAGGAGCCTGAATACCAGGGAGCAGCATGGAATGGCAGGTAGGGCCCTCAGTACAGTTAAGAGATCTGACTAGGCCCAACTTTAGGCTTCTGCCCACATCATCAGAGGGTCACCCATACGAAGTATCAACCCCCTCCCAAACCATCGCCTCAGCCCTCATCACTGCTCTACACCACTTCTCTCCCACTGACACGCTTGTATTGACTTGTTTATCGGCTGACTCCACCATATCAGAACAGAGGCTCTGTGGGGCAGAATGTTGTCTGTTTTGCTTCCTGGAGGATTCCCAAGCACCCAGAATAGGACCCCAATATGGGACACTACCTAAGCATGTGGTAAATGTATGGGCCAAGGAGAGAATGGATTGAGGCCTTGGTCCTGCTGTCGTTAGGATGTGTGGTCAAAGTCGGGTCACTTCACCTCTTGGGCCTCCATTTCTGGATTGGTCCTAACTGAAATGAACTACCATAGGCAATCTGTACAGATACCTGCCTAACGGGGGACTGAGATGGTCCCTTCCTCTAGCTACCCTGCCTGCCCCCTCTGGGTCTCTCACACCCTCTTCTCTTCCCACCTACCTCCAGGACCCTGAAGTCCTGGAGCCCCAGTTGGCCTGGTTAATTTCTTCTGATCTTTCCAGATCTCATCAAACACTACTCGGCTGCTACTGGTTTCATACGTGCTTTACATCTTTCCAGAACCTACCATAGCCATAACTCTTCTGTGCATCTGTTTCTCTCAGTAGACCCTCTCTGGTTCACTGCAGTTCTACCCAGACCGTGATGCATTAGTAGTAAGTGCCTGATAAATGTTTGTGGCTTGAATTTTCAGTAAGTAAAATACTGAATTGAATGAGATAGTCTCCACGGTGTCTTCTGACTCTGGCATATCTCCTGCCGTAATTTTTACTGGTTGGGGTGAATCTTGAGGGATGTAACACTACAGAGCTTCTCCACTTGAGTCCCTTCAGAGTACCTGTGCTATTATTTGCAGACCAATGGATTAAAATCAACTTACTCTTTTGCTTGCCCCCTGTAAAATGGGTGACTGTAAATAAATACTCTTAAGTAAGTTGCTAAACTTAAACAGATACAGTTTTTTAGAGATTTTATTTATTTGAGAGAAAGAGAGAGAGAGCATGGATGCTCCTGCGGGGAGAGAGGGAGGAGGAGGGCAGAGGGAGAAGCAGGGAGCCCCACTCAGGGCTCAACCCCAGGACCCTGGATCAGGACCCAAGGCCAAGGCAGACGCCTAACCTACTGGACCACCCAGAGGCCCCTTCATAAGACAGACACATTGTTCCCTAAGCTACGTTCATTTGCATACTGTGTAGAATCATCTTGCAAACCCTGGGCGGAACGGGTCTTACACATTGGGAAACACTGCATTATAATGAATTTCCACTGTCTCATTCTGGTCCGACTTAGCAATTAGAACTCGATCATCGGAACCTGCCCACAGATACCAGCATAGAAAACAAGTCAAGCCACGATGCTCAGGTTTCAAACTGGTTTCAGAGTTCCTGTCATTGTTTCCAGAACTGGAGGGACGAAAGTCACTCACCCCGTCAGTCATTCCGCGGCGCCTATGACTGAGGCTCTGGACGGGGATGGCAGCCTGGGCCGCGGCCTTCCCTCTGCAGCCTTGGAAGGGCAGCGCCTGCCCCGGGGGCAAAGCTGAGGGCCCGGGGTCACTGCCCTTCCTCCCGGGGAAGCTTCTGGAGGGGTCAGATGTGTGTGGAGCTGTAGGAACGAAAAGTGAAAGCTCAGTCAGGCTGAGTAGAACATCCCCAGAGCAGCCTGGAGCTGTGCTGTGAGGTTACTGCACCTCAGCAGGAGTCCTGGGCTGGGAGTCTTTGACCTGGACCGGGGTCACTGAACCCAAATGAAAAGCAATCAGTTCTAGGAAGGTTGATGGAATGAACACCATCTGCTTGTCTCATGGTCACGGCTGAGGTAACAATGATAGGGAAAACTCAGTTCCTCTGGCAAGTCAGGATCTGGGAAGGGAGAG